TTTCATCATTCACATAATTATAATAATATATATGTACTCACTCTCCATGACTTTCATCATTCACATAATTATAATAATATATATGTACTCACTCTCCACGACTTTCATCATTCACATAATTATAATAATATATATGTACTCACTCTCCACAGGGATCCCCGCGCGGTACTCTTCTCACAATCCAAAGTCTTCAAAACCTTCGACTGGAAAAATGACGTCAGCTCCGTGTCGAAGAAACATTGCCAGGCTCTTACCGAAGATATAGACCACTTTCGACGATTGAGAGAAAAATACCCAACAAGGGTCAAAGCCATACGCTACGAAGACGGCGCCATGAATCCTCAGCGATACGCAAAGGAAATCTACAGCTTTGTGGGTCTAGAGTTTTCATCCGAAGCCCAGCGTTTAGTTGGGACACTGACGTCATCAAATAATGCGAAGAAAGGTCGTGAACAATATTCAGTATTCCGGAAGGAGCCAGAACTAGCTATGAGAAAATGGCGGTTTTCAGCCGGGTACAAGAGTGTTTCTGTTGTTGACAGTAAATGCAGTCATTTGTACCCAGTGCTAGGATACCGAAACGTGACGTCACAGAAAGACTTGGAATCTAACGTTACCGTTGTGTTAAAACCTGATTCTGAAAAAGGGATATTCTGATGCCTGTTCATGACGTGTATGTTTCATAGATGAAAGGGTTAGTAGGATTATGAATGTGTGAGAAGTGATAACAATAGCGGTGTGATAGTGTGCCGAGACTGCAGTCTTTTAGAATACACTAGAGGTAGCATGTTAGTTAAGAGGGGTGTATATTCTGTTATCAGGAACGTTTTAAGTGCTAGACTTTCTTTCTGTTCTTTAAAGTCGTATCAGCTGAGTAGAGGTTGAATAGCTGTTTGTACAAAGTCATACAGCAGCAAACAATGGTCAATAATTGAGTAGATTTTGAAGAGTTTGAAACGTGTATAACATGTTGCAGGAATCGTCAACTTGCTTGTCGTGGTGGGTTTTGGCGTATGGTGTGTGGTTGGGGGGGGGGGGGGGGGGGGGGGGTGTGGGAGGTCTAATACAGATTTTCTTAACGATATGTTTGTTTATCTTGTGTAGCTATAATGTGAAGTGTTTTTTTTTTTCAGCGGGTTTGTTGTTCAGTGAGACAAAAATAATTTAATGTAGTTTCTCTGACACTTGAATCGGCATAAGGCGTAGGATATCTTGCTCACACTGAAAAAATAAAAGGGAAACGAGGTAAAGTTTGACCCAGAGCAACTTATTGGGAAAATGTGTGTTTTTTATGGTTGGGAAAGGGGGGAGGGCGTTTTTAGAGCATTCGAGCAAAGCAATGAATGGCTAACCGTGATGGCGGGTTTTTCTGACAAATCTGGCACTTTGTGAGGAGGGAGGAGGAGGAAGCTCTGTCACGACTCTTCACCTGCGTGGCTCGACCATTTCGGAGAGTTTTCCTATTATTAGAGCTCCTGGATCTTAAATAATTTTACTGGACTGGAAGGGTATTTAAACAGATCCGTACTGCACTGAGCACTGGCATGAATGTCCGAGTTTTTACTCCACCAAGTCGTCATTTGTCGTGTCTTCCTCTACGAAGCAGTTTCGACAGCAGCATTAGTGTGAAATAGGTGCAGAAGCTTCATCAGTTGTGTCTTTACATTGAGTGCAAGTTGTTTGAGAGTTTTGATAATTGTGTTAAAAAGTTTCTTATGCGAGTGTCTTAATGTTCAGCAGAAAATGATACCAACAAGGCTGTTGAAATTAGATATTCTGTATCGGCATATTCATCATTGAAGAGATAAAGGTGATGTTCTTGAAAAGTGAAGTAACCCGGTATTATTTGTTGAAGCAAATTTGCTTTCAAAAGGATTATTAAATTTGATTAAACATTGTGTTAAAGATTTCCGGTTATGCAACATAATCTAATGATTTATACCATAATGTATCGCTGTTTACCAATCTTGGGTATTTTTCAATACTGTCGAAACTCAAGTTACAACTAAATAGGCTTTCATCCATTTCTAGCACCTTAAAGCCAAGGCGCATATTGTGTCAAAAGAGCTATGGATTAATGATCTGTTCCGCTTGTTAACAATGGGAGTTTCAGGGGACAATCAATTAATACTTAGAAGTTTTCCAACTAGAATAACACACGTATCTATGTAGCCTGAAAAAAATGCTATCATCTCCCGTAGAAGTTTCGTGACAAATTCCCGATTTCTCCAGACCAAGTTACTTATCGCGAGTTATGTTGTACTGACTCCATTTTTCGACAGTTGAGAGTTTTTGTCACAGTTATTGAAAAATCATTGAGCCCGACATGTTTACGATTAATATCTGCATTCCGTAGAATTCCAGTTTCATTTTGTCCTGCTACTACTTATTTTTCTTATCTTATCTGGTATTCAGCGCTTTCAGATGGATTGTGGTCAAATTTAGAAACATGAAGTTAGGACAAGATAACACAAAAATCGCTTTGTGTTTGTTAATTTTAATGCTTTTTGTTGTCTTCGTTATCTTTATGCTGTTGCAGTAAGTGGAATTAGTGCTTTTCCAATTCGTATAATACTGTTGTTGTTTGCATGTTTGGCTTTGTCTTGTCGTATTGTTGTTGCTGTTTTTCTCCTTGTTGCAATACTGTTTTTAGTTCTAATTCTAAGTTTTGTTGTTACTTCTGCTGTTGTTGTTGTTGTTGTTGTTGTTTTTGATGATGATGATGTGATGATGATGATGATGATGATGATGATGATGATGATGATGATGATGATGATG